TTTGTTTTTTTTTTTTTTTTTTTTTTTTTGTTGCTGGGGGGGGAGGTTGCTGCTGCTGGTGGCAGCGTTTCCTCCCGCTGGAAAATGATGAATACATGAGGAGAGAGGCTCTGAGCCTGCTTCTCTGCTGCGGGAGTGTCTCTCCCTCCCTCTCTCTCTCCCTGCTCCTGTGTGAGTGTGTGTTTGGCTCCCCGGCTGTGTGTGCGTGTACACTGTGTATATATATCTGAGCTGGGAGGTTATTGCAAGCTTCTCTCAGCAGCGCTGCTCTGTGCAGGAAGAAGGGCTCAGCTGCAGTGGTAGCATCAACAGCAGCATTAGCAGCACCAACAGCTTTTTCCGCCTTTCTCCCTTCCCTTCATCTCCATCTCCCTTTCCCTCCCTCCCCCCACGTCATTTTGGGGATTGTTTTTTTTTTCTTTTTTCTCTTCTACAGTCTTTGTTAGAATGTAATATTTACACTCAGTTTCACAGTCTTTTTTTTTTTTTTTCCTCTTCCTCTGAGAAGGAGGCACAGGCACACACGCACGTACAAACACAGAGAAATAAGGGAAAGAAAAGTACCGGGACTTATCCTGCTGCTGCAAACCCAGAGACAGCAGCCGAAGAGAGGGGCTGGCTTCTACCCCAAGGTAAAGCCCTGCCCCCTTTACCTCCTCGCCACCTCCTCCGAGAAAGAGAAGGAGAGAGAGAGAAGGGGCCAAAGTGGAGAAAAGCAGGTCTTCTGCGGCTGGCATTTGGAGTACAGGGAGCCAGGAAGTGAAGGATGGTTGTGGTTACCCGAGCTGGCTGCAGGGCAGCTCTCTTCCTCTGGATTTTCAGCAGCATTAGCTGCAGAGCCAGGACTGCTCTGCCTGCATCTCGTAAGTACCCTTTTCTAAGAAGCATGCACAATTTCAGCTCTGCAATAAGCCAGAGGGGAATTCCCTCAACTCTGGGAGGCTGATTATTTTCTCTCTGCTGGCGAATCTTGTGTTTGTTTTTCTGTGTATTTGTATGTGCATGTGTGCACTAAGGTTTGATACTGTTCGCAATGCTCCCTATCAGATCTTCCTTCGTATAGATGATTTCAGTGGTAGCTGGTGTGGAAAGTTGAAAGACCTGCTCTATGATATAGTCTTGGTTCTGCAATGGAGTCAGAGGGGGAAAGGAATCAGATAGAAGCTATTCAAAGTTTGGGGGTGTTTTTTGTTTGTTTGTTTTGTTTTGTTTTTTCCCACCTTCCTCAGAAGGTATGCAATTTGCATTTAGAAGTACTTCACTTCCACAGTTGTGTGAGGGAAAAGAGGAGATGTGAGCAGTTTCCATAACTAGTGTTTTATCAAGGAGCAGAAAGAGAAAATTTTGTCTCATTTGAAGAGAAAAGAATGATGGTGAGTTGATGAGAAGGAACTGAGCCAGGACAGCTTTTCTTGAGAGTGAAGTTTTGCTGCCCATAATAAAATGAGCAAAGGTATTTTAGAGGAGACCAGCAATTGCCCCCCTAGGGAGGCAGAAAGAGTAGAGAAATGATCGAGCATCTGCTGAAATGCTGAACTTCAGCCCGGAGGAATGCAGAGCACCTATACAGGACCCAATTCTGCTATCAGTGTAAAAATGACAGCGTACTCATTGATTTCAATGGGTGTTAGATCAAATCTTTAGCATTGCACTGAGCTGTAGTTTCCAGCAAAACATTTGCAGGTAGATGTCAGTGTTAAGTATTTAGTTGTTTCTCTTCAGACCATGTAAAGCATTTGCCATTTGCAAAGTATTTTTGAAATGCATACTGAAATAAAGCAGTGCATTTTTATAGAATCGTCAAAAATAGACACTACTGTTGACTTCCTCTGTTGTTTATAGAGGAAAGAAACGTCATGAGATGTTACAGATAGATGTGTTGGGATTGTGTGTATGTGAATGGGGGCTGATTCTACTGACCGAGCGGGGAATTGCCTTAGAATGTAATGTATATACTGCATAGAGATCTATGTGGATCATTACATTTATTTATTTATTTCCTTGGGAGCGGGAATGAACGATGCAATGATTAGGGAACTGGAACACTGCTATACTTTCTCAGTGGGTTTCTATCTGTTATCATCTGATACCTATCAAAAAATAAAACAATGTTATTGTTCCAGGATTTGCTTACACTTACACATTTATTTGTGTGTCAACAAAAAATGTACAGCAGTGTCTGCATTGTATCTAGGTCTCAGAGGCTATAGGATGGTCAGTTATTTTCCTACCTTTGATTGAGGAGAAATATTGATCCTGAGGTTTACTGCTTAGTGTTGACCACCTATCTAGTTTTTCTTCTGAATATTATTTCTTCGTGGTCATCTCTCAGGCTGTGCATAACAGGAATATATAGGGGAAAAATGGTTTAGGATTTAGGTTGTCAGAAATCTGTTCTTGGAAAACAAAGTTCCCTATACTGATTTCTATAATAGGATATCTGAGCACTTTTTTTTTGTCATTCAGTAACTAATAACTGTAGTTTAACTTGAAAATGACCTACAGTGGGTTATCAGATTACTCAACAAACAAATCTTTAACTTTTGAAAGAAGTTAGTTGAAATGTTAATGGTTTAGTAATAGTAACATCACTATAATCAGAAATTCCATGAATAAGGGATATATATAATCTTAATTGCAGCTTACTGATATACATTCCCATCCTGACAATTATTTTTTTTTCAGATATTCAAAGATTTCTTTAAGTTAACTCGCCTTCAAAGAGCTTATACACCACACTCCTTATGTAATGTATAGCATTTCATTTCTGACTCACTTCTAAAAGTGAAATGGAGCTGGATTTGTTTACTGGAAACAGAAATATAGCTAGAAGTACACGTCAGCCTTAAAATTACAAAAGGAGTGTTCACATTGCAGTGCCTGCTTAAAATTCTTGTAAAGACGTATGGGTGCTTCAGAAGTGGTACCAGAGTAGGAACTCAAGTGCTGTGTCACAGTGTTTTGGTGCACCACTTAGCTGGTTATTCTGTTGCACACTGTGGTATACAAACTGGTCACTGTGCTGTATTTTCTGGGATTGTTTGCCACTTTGTATCCAACTGATTGTGAATGACATTGGGTAAATTTTGTTCTCCTCTGACAAGAGAATGCACTCAGGTTTTTGTCTCTTTTTTTTTCATTAGTTGTTTTTGAACATCATATCGGGAATACTTCTGAAAGAATTAAAAATTGTGTGCAATGAAACTTTGATGTAGAACTGATTTCCAACCACATTTTAATTTTCTCCTACACTGCTACTTTATTTTTTGACTTTGAAGTAATTCACAACAACAAATTTATTCTTTACAGTACTTTTTAGGAAGTATGCAAGATTCATGGTGTATAGTGAATTACAACTCCCTATATATGATCTTGCTCTTCAACCTTTTCTTACAGTCTGCTTGTGCTAACATAGAAAAAGATAAAGTTTTTGGAAAGAATAGAATTGGACATCACTTATGTTGCGTCTCAAACGTTTGTTACTTTGCAAAGTCAGTAAATCTCTCTGTCATTATAATTATGTTTCTCAGTAATCCTGATTCAGAAGAGAACGCTGAAAGCTTTGAATCTCATTCAGTTGTATCTCAAGATGAAGTGGGTGTTGAAAGCCTATCTTGTAGTACAATAAACATGCACCATGATATAGGATCACACACACTAATACTCAGATCTTACTGTAAATTTTATTCATCGTCACGTTTTTCATACCTTGGGAATCAATTCTTCATATTCTTGCATATTTTTTTTGTTTGCTTGTTTTAAATAAGCATAGGGCGATCAAAATGCTCTTAACTTCTGGAATCAAGGCTAATGAACAGCTCAACCAGGAGAGGTCATCACAAGATAAAAAGTAACATGGAAAATACAAATTTAGTGCTTTATAGTCTTTTACATGGCTTAAAGAGGGAATGATAAGAATATGACTATGGGTAGGTTAACTCTCAATTGTGTTCTTATAAAAAACCCACAAAAAGCAGTGACCTTGTCTTCTTAATGAGAATGTTAAAGGGATTCGTCATGGGATCATCTGCTTCTCTATGAAAGCAACTTACTTAAAAAGTAATTTTCTTTCACAGTGAAGTTTTATTTGTGGTTGCATCTGTTTATGTGCAATGCAAACCTGATCAGTACAGAAATAGTAAAACTTCTAGTTCTGATGCTTTTCATTTTTTGCAGTAGGTCACATACCACTACTGAAATGTAACCGCATTTTACAATAATTAATGCAGAAAACAAATGAGAAGCAAGTATAGTCAATCATTAGGATTTGTTTATAAGCAAAAATATGCACCTTTTGTCTTTGACTGCATGGCACACAGACTTTCCTTAATAGCTTGGGTAAGTGAGAAAATTATTTTAAAAGTGTAATGTCCCTTTTGAAAGAGCAAAGCATTGTACAAGAAACTTCTCTTCAGGAGTTCTGAACTGTATAGAATTAGAGAATATATCCTTCCAGGTCAAGGTGCTTGAATGTTGGGCATGTGGGGATGTCGTATATTCTACTAAACTCACATTTGGGAATAATTATCTTCCAGATAATTTTTCAGACATAATGGTATTTTGTGAAGTCTGGTCAGTTCCAGTTGTGTTTCTGTTAGATCTGATTAACATTTCTTAGTTTAGGTCCTGTTGTCAGAGATCCTACGGAATTTAGTTTCAAGTATACCAGAACACTTCCATATAGGTTTAACGCTTAATCATTTTTCTTACCTCTGGGTGTCAAAGCACTTACAAATATACTAAACTTTTAAACTGAGGGCCTAAGTTTCCCTTAAGACAATAGGATTTCATAACATTAAACATAGGCTTTCTTTATTTTTTTTTTATTTTAAAACATTTTAGCTATAAATTAGACCAAAATTTACATCCATCGTTATATAATGTTACTGTTATTTAAGGTGCTATACATCACTATATAATAAAATTAACATTCAACAAGCAAACAACAGTTTGTTAATTGGTTATTATTAACAACATTGACCTGAGTTAGTCAGGTGACTTTTTAAATGAATATGCTTTTCCTAGAACAATACATTACCTTACATGTGAATTAAATAGTAATAAATAGTCTGTTATCATTTCCAAACTGGTGACAGCAGCTAGAGCCTGCGTTGGTGCTGAAAAGCCAAAGTTTCAGAGTCCTTAACTTCTGTGTATGCAACATTGCACACAGCCTGATTGCAGACATTCATCTATATACAGAAAGTCTGATTCAAAGTTTGATGTGGTCAGTGGGCATCGAATCAATTGCAAATGTCATTGAATTAATGCTTTAAAAACTGGGTTTTGCTTGGGTTCTTTTTGCTTTGCTTGTGTTTTTAATTAATTTATTTTTTTTTAAACTCTGGTGCAATAATGTGGAATAAAGCACAAAAAATGCTACAGCAAGTAGGCCAGTCTGCAAGAAAGTTTGAAAGTGAAGTTAAAGGCTATGAATTGAAAAACTGTGTAATGAACATTGGCTGTTTCTTTTGCAAGGAGACAAGAAATATTGTCTGATTATCTCATTTTTTAGTCAGGTGCTTTTAACACATTTGAAGGATTTTTTCAGTTGATGCAGTTGTCAAAGAAAGTTGTCTTTTTATATAATATATTACTCAGACATTAGAAACTGAAGATCTACTTGTATAAGTCACATCACCATGGATCTGTGACAGACAGTAGGATTTCCTATAGAAGAGTTCTTTAGTGATTTCAACTTGGATTTCTAAATCTTCTTAAGTATCAGATCTCATGTTCAATGTTTAGTAATTATAGCAATATTTAAGACTTTGTAATGCTCTTAATGCTTGGGGCAATAGCAAACTATGCACAAACTATGGGGTGTTTCCACATTTTCTTTTTCTACATATGCAGAAGCTGA